GTTAATATATTATATTATGAATATATTATATGTGAAAACAGTTGCCATAATTTTGAAATATATTTGAAACATATCTGGGTCCTTACAATATTATGTCATTGAAGAAAGAAAGCACAAAATAATCCTTTAGATTTGCCTACTTATAGCATCATTTTGAAGCCTGAAGTGTGCTGACATTTGACTCACATTAAGGCAAAACTTCAAGTCTTACCTCTTTAACTATATTAAGGAGGTAAGTGTTCAAACAGGAAGATATGGTGTCAGGGAAAGGGCCATACTTATAGTAAAAGACCATTAGCAAGTTAAATGTTTATCCAGAAATATAGGTTACTAGAAAAGGATTTTTGACAATGAGCAGTCAAAATTAAATCAGATTCTAAGATGAAGGTCTAGAAGCAAATATAGTATGAAGGGCTAAAGTTGTAGGGGAAGTGAGAAGGGTAGGGGAAAGGAAATAAGGGAAAACATAAGAGAAAATAAAAAAATGGAAATAAAGTTTTTGTAAATAGGGAAGGGAGGGGGGGTGAAGGGAGAGCAGGAGTATAGGAAAAACATGAGAACCAAGATCTATATGTGAAGGTACAAGTTCCCAATGATAAATGTAATTGTACTGTATATCTAAAATGTACCAATAAACTCAATGAAAGAAAAAAAAAAGAGGGTATAAAAAAACGTTCTGTGTGGTGTACAAATGTGAGATAAATGAGCCACGGTTAATGTGTTCCTGATAAGCCTACAGATAGAGGAGCCCCACATTCTGGCTTAAAGTTATTCATAAAGTGATGCATGCTTTTGTTAGGTAAAAAGAGCCCAAAACTAATACCAGACCAGGACCATAACAAGCCTTTATTATGGGGAGGATCTGCTGGGTTGGCTCCAAACAAAGGAGAGAGAACAAAGCAGAACAAGGAGAGTGTTTTATAGGAGTGGGGTGGAATTAGCCTGAACTGGTGTGGAATTGAGTGAGGTAGTATTGAGAGATTGGAGGAGCCTGTGACATCCCTAGGAGGGGCTTGTGACATCACTAGCTGCTGGGACATAGCACTATCAGGTTACTCTTTTGGTGGGAGAAGAAGTATGACGGGAAGAAGCCTGTCCCTTGTCGGGAGAAGTCATACTTTAACATGGAGGCTGCTATTGCATGTGGCAGCCACCTTACGGCAAGGGAAATATAACAGCTTTAAATCAAGATGAATCATGCAACTGGGAGAAAACTGAGCCTACGGAATGGAAAGTTACTGGTTTTATAAAAAAAAAATAAGTGAATATTGTCAGAAATAGGACTACAAAGAAATAAGACTTGCTAAGGTAAGACTGCCAAAGAAAAGAATAGGTCTATCAGGATGGGCTAAATCTCATGACTTAACTGGGGCTTTGGGTAATTTTTCCTTAGAAAACAGAAGTTAACATTGAATTTATTGGTGACAGGATTTCCTAATATGAATACAGAAAGCAAAAAAGAAAAACAGGATTTCTCATTAAGTTACTGTGTCATTGTCTTAGTTACTTTTCTTTTTTGCTGAGATAAAATGCACAACACTCCAAATTAAAAGGGAAAGTATTTAGCTCATAGTCTGTAAAGGTTTCAGTTCATAATTGGCTTGATCCAAGGCAGAGTGGCACTTGACAAAAAGACATTGCAGAGGAGAGACAGTTCATGGTGGTCTAAAGGTAGCAAAGCAACAAGGGAAACTTAAGAGCATGTTTCTGCCCCCTTTATCTTATCCAGACTTCAGGGATTAGGATAGTGCCAAATCAATAATGATTTAGTAATCACACACCCTTACTTCCAGAATCACACACTCTACATCAAACCAACTACCAACAAGCTCTATGACAGCATGAGTCTTTGGTGTGATGTCTAGACCCAGACCACAAGGATCATTTTCCTTTGAAAACAACACCAAAAAACAGATGGGTAGCTGAAAAAAAGTACAATCTGTTCCTGAAATATGAGGGAGAAGATATTTTCTAGCAACTTGGCTTTTGTGAGATGGCCAGTAGATGTGTGAATCTCTACTTGAAAGAGAAGGGTTAGACAAACTAGTTGTCACAATTAGAGAAAGCACTGCTACTAGGATGACATAAAGGCACAGACTGCTCCTTGCACAGTGGAAATAAATTAGTCAAGAATCAAGGTGATAGTAAAGAAAGAACTTCATTGTAGCGAGTGAGCTAGTTGACATAAGGCGGCCAGACTAAGGACCATTAGCTAATAACTGAAAGTGAAAACCTCTTAAGGGAAATTTAAAGATGATTACATTTTTAGCCATGCGTGGGTGGACTACAGTAATCATTAATCCTGAAGAGGTCCATTTCTTTGATGTATATGATCTTAACTAATAGTCCCTAGATGTTCCATGTTCTATCAATCTAAAGAAAGACCACTGATTGAGGGTCTTATGACCTCTGTTTCTCTTATTTGTTTGATCCCGAAATAGATGACTCTATCAGATATTGTCTTAATATTTAAGTTTGGCTTTCCTATAGAATTTACAATGCCAGACAAAGGTAAAGTAAAATTTACAAAGGACATGCCAAGCCCATGGCAAATTTACTATTGGTATGTAGTGTGAGGATCCCAAATGTGCTGCATAGCATCCTAAGGAGGGCCTCCCAGTGCAGGTAATGATCTGTGCAAAAGTCACTGGCACCGAGGTTGAAAGAAATCAGTAGTGTGAGTGCAAGTATGGTGAAGTAGACACCGATTGCATGAGAGGAGGAAACGCGCAGATTGTCCAGGCACTCTGGGGAGACAATTATATGAAAAACTTTTAATGCGAGATTTTCTAGAAAGGGAAAGTAAGTAAAAAAGTAGCAGATGCTACTGATAGTGGCGGTTAAAGGCAGCCAGGATTGTAAAGGAGCTGAGACATAATGTCTAAGAATAACTCTGGGAAAAATATACTACTGTTAAGAAATCACACACACACAAAAAAATCATTCTTCAAAGTTCAATGACACAAACCTAATTATTGGATTTAGAATCCATGATTTGTTGTTATAATCACTTTCTTTGTTGACAGTTTGTAAGAAATTGTAGAAATCACTGGATGTACTCATTTATTTCTCATTTAGTTTGCCAATTTTTTGAAGAAACTTACAAAGAATAAATCAGTGTTAAAATCCTTCATATTCTAGAAAAATTTTGATTACTTTAGAATAATATATTTAAAATAATGTTCAGTCATTGATTTTCTTTATTGCTTATGAAGTGCATTCTGTAGATTAGTTGTCTAGATGCTGGCTTCCATGATGAGCAAAACTGAAAATCTTCTTTTTCCCCTAATAAATGTATTCCCCTTAGGGAGAAAAAAAACAGAAAAAAAAAGCAGCAAATTAATAACAATTTCAGAGAGTGACAAATTGCTCAAAAGTAATGAAATTAAAAATGGTAGTGAAGTATATTCTCTTACCTTGACTTATAATGCTCTCCACTCATTTTCTAAAAACAGATTATTTTATTAAATTAAAACTGCATAACTAAGATATATCTGGCTATTGGCTTCTCCTGTGGGCAGAGTATGGCTAGAATAAAAAACAGAACAAGGTAACTCGGTCATATTTAGGGATGTGGATAAGATAACTCTAAGAAGAAATAAATAGTGTGGAAGGCTAAAAGACCCTTTAAAGGCATCACTTTTACTTCTAAATGCTTAAGAGATTATTGATGAATCCAGTGCAGTGGACGAATATGACCTGATGTATATTTAGAAGGCCATTCTGGTGCAGTGTGAACAGTGGACATTCAATGACAGGACTTGGGTAGTGATGGTAGAGATGAAGAAAAAACAGGAAAATTTTTGAGGGTGAAAGAGTAATCTTGCTGTGAAACATAGATATGCATACCATATTTCATTGCTACTATGGTAACGCTATTTTTATAAATTTTAATAAAGTTAATTATATTTATTATGATTATTATTTCTGGAAAGACTGGAGAGCAAAAGATTTAGGGAATAAATTCAATAGTCATGTTTGGCATCTAGGATATAGTTACTTATACAATATCCAACAGAGCTACTAAATAATAGTGCACAATAGCATCTGGATTTCAGGAAATTACCAGGTAATAAGCTGTAGACTTGGGAAGTGAATGACAGAAAATGTCACCACTAAATAAATTCTCCAAGTGAGAGTTCTTCTAGAGATTTCTTCTCCAAAGATTGAGTAAGAAGCCATCATCTGAGTCCTGGAGTTTCTCAGCATTTAAATTACTAAGAGTATAGTATTAGTAGGGGAAGCTAGAGGAAACAGTTACTGGGATAGGAGGTCCCACACACAATAGGGAACCAAGAAAATGTGTTTCAAGGCAGGAGAATTTACAGAAAAGATGTGGCTATGAGCTTGACTTTTTATAGCAGGCAGCAGAGGCAGACTGGGAAGGGACAAGCTATCAAGACAAAACTGATGGACAATGGAATTTATGGGGATTACACCAGTCCAGCATGCATTGAAGAGGTTAAAGGAAGTAAGAAATAAAAATCAGTAAACATGGATTATGCAGAGTTTTGCCACAAGGGGGAACAAATAAAATACAAGCTGGAGTGCAATCCAGCTCTGAGAAAAGCTGCATAATTTTAAGAAAATATGTGTATATTATATATGACACACACATCACACACACACACACACACACACACATATATGAATATTGTAATGTACATAGTATATACAATTTCTCATTTAGAGACCAATTCATTTAATGACCTAATCAAAGGGTTGGATCCCTGTCATTAAATAGTGAATGACTGTTCATTATACTCGAGTTCATGCTTCCTTATAAAGCCATAGTAATCCTATAATGAATATGCTTTCGTCATTGTTGGGGCTAAAAAATTAGGGAGTTACTAAGCTTTGAAGTATCTGGAATTGTTTGGGAAAGTTATCTTTCCCAAGGACCATAATTACTGAGTTTAAATGAGGAAAGGTGATAAGGACACCCCTGAACAAACGAGATGTCACAGCAGGGGTTGAAGACAATAGCCATGCCTGGCATGGAACAAATTCTAAATGACACTTTTTACAGTGCTCACAAAAATCATTGCAATTCCCTGTAACTGACACGAAGAAGAGTTACCTTGTCCACAAAAACACTTAAGCCTAACCAACTAAATTGGTTTGAGGCATCCTAAAGGAAACCAAATCTAATTTAATCAATAACTTTGACGCATCAAAGAGTAGTAAGGACTATTTTTAAAACAACGAACCTGAACCGTGTAAATTAAAAAATGTATCAATATTTTGCTCCTTTTTAGGTTCACCACTAAACTTTAAAGTAATATTTATGTATTCTATTGTTCTCTTCACTTATTGTTGTCAGTTATTTTATTTCCTTTTGAGACATAAAAACATAACAATTATAGATGTATATATTCTTCATAAAATATATATGTATTTATAAAAAATTATATATGTCTAGTGTGTGACACTATATATTTAACATACTAAACATATAGGTCTATCCAACTAAGCAAGAGTATCCTTTTATGGTTTCATGTTCCTTAAATTATGGATTTTTTTGTACCTTGGTTATGTTTTAATACCAACATAAAACATTGTCTAATTAGAATCTTATTATCTAATAACCATGGACAATTCTTATCTCTTACTGACTTGGCTGTCTTTCACCAACCTTTATCTCAAACTTACAAATGTCCTTAATTGGGCTATTTGCCTATAATTTTCCATTTCAATATTGTGATCGACCTTGAAAAAATTCTTCTGGGAATCCACCAATACCAGTAATTATAGTTCCATTATGGCTTTTATTTAACTCAGGAGATATTTAGACTTTGATCAATGCATTCATTACACTTATTGATTGATAATTATAATGCATTACTTGCCAACTTTCCTGCCTCCCTCATTAATTGACTTGCCACAGTCCAGAAATATAGTTGCTAGACACTTGACATGCATTATTCTAGGATTTATTATTCTATTTTTAGACTTATATTGGTGCTTAATTGTTCACTTCCCTATTACATTCTAACTTTATTATGTATTGTCATTTTTTGGCCCTACTTCTATGGATCCAAGCAGCCTCTACTATTCTTATATTCCTGTCTGCCTCTTAGTTGTGTCCATGTAAATCTCAAATTTACAGAATATTATTTAAAAAAAAACTTGAACAGATCTAAATTCCTGTTACACTAAGGTTTATAAGAATCTATTTTCAAATTTTATTTTTAAAGTGAAAATTGAAACTTTAGACACGTTAATACTTATACATCTTAATATGTTTATTTGAATCAAAGACATTGAACTACACTATCTCTTGTAAAAGCTAGTGTTTATGGCTAGCT